AGGGGGCACGATAAATTTTTATACGGTAGGGTACAGGACACAAAAACTCCTACCCTGCATACCACTGCTCTGAAACACCTTAAAACTTCTCCATCTACATCACAAGAAAGCTACAAGTATTTTTGCTGTAATCTAACAATAACAGTTGACTATGGTGTTTGTTCGTCTTGTTTATAATGATAAGTGAAGACTACTGACTACGAATTGTTAGTTCTGTTAAATAATTTATAAAAAAATATCATTCATTATATTAGCCTTTTTTTATTTGCATTTTTTCGTTTACCTGATAGATATGGGTGATACAGTACACCGACATTGTTTACGTACTGCGTTTCTGTATTGCTTTTATCAAATTCAAAGGAAACGTTTAGACAATGTATAGTACTACAAAATGTGATGTGTACACGTAACCTTGTTACCTACGACATGTGAATTAAAAGTAACCACTTTCTCACATCTCACGTAAAATTCTAGCTTGCTGTATATGGATAAATTTCTATGGGGACATTAAAACACTGGCGCATGACTATATCTATGTACGTTCGTCAAAAACTTAAAAGCATCGATGATTCATTTATTTAATAATTGAAAAATACCAAGAAAAATACAATTTTGAAAAAATGATTATGTGCTATTATTCTATGAGTCATTCTCATCAAAATCATACAAGTGTGTCTTTTATTCGTCTTTATTATCTCTTGTTATACCAAGCGTAAAAATAAAATCTATGTGTTGTATAGATTCTGATAACGACAGAATACTTACACAGTAGATAATCACGATTAAACATTACCTTTTTTAATTAAAAATGATTAATAATATTTCGAATTTATTCAAAGACATACTCATTAGAGTAGGCCAATTATCGATCCTATTTTATAAAAGAGTAGACATTACTAATTTTTTATTGCAGATTATTTTTTCGATAAGTATTCACTTTTATAATCGTTACTGGCAGAAATCTTTATCTACGCAAGGCAGTATCACATCGACTAATGAAAAATATAAACAATTAATAAATCAATCTGATATTGAAATGTCAGAAAATGTTCTGATTTTAAATAAAGATAAAGATTTAACACTAATATGGTTTGATGGTCATTTGGATATTGAAATGAAACAGAGGTTAGAACAATTTCATGAGCATATTATTCTTTGTTTTTCGAATGATCAATTGATGACATCAATTACAAAAATTCAAAAACATAAAATTATTCTTATAGTTAGTGGTCAACATTCTTATCAAACATTACAATTGTTACATGATAATGATAAAATAAATTCATTTTATATTTTTTGTTTCAACAACCAAATGTATCAAGACTTATTTATAGATAAAAAGTGTTCAAAATTAAAAGGTATTTATAATGAATATGATCAATTATTTAATAAATTAGAAAATCAAATATGTTCATTATTGAAATATTTATCAATATTTAGTTTATTTGATAAAAATAATAAATCAATACGAAATTTAGAACATGAATCTATTGATTTCAAGGGCGCCCCGATAAGGGGAGGGAGGTGAGGGATCCCCCCTGCTTTTTGAAAAAATTTACTCCGAAATCAGGATCTTCTTACTCCGAAAATTATGCCTTTGACTTACGAGAATATCCTACGAAGTAAAGCGTTTACTTGTACTTTCAGAGTAAGACAATTATTCTCATTTTTAGAGTAAGACGTCTACTCTCAATTTTGGAGTAAGACATTTATTCCCATTTTGAGAGCAAAAGGCTTACTCTCAGTTT